TTTTTTTTTTTTCTCCAAATGCCCTCATGGATGGTTTGGCACGTTTGGCTGGTTTGGTGACTGGAGAGTTGTGGGGATCGAACTACAGCAACCTGAGGCTGACAGCTTTGTGGAAGCAGCCACTTAAACAACTGAGCTAAGGCCAGCCCCTGACCTTGGCTTCTTGATGTGTTTAGGGAGCTGCCTTCCCCCAGGGAAGGTCCAGAAAGAAAATCTCGTTCAGGTGGGTGTAGTGCGATGACCTCAGTGAAGGAAGATGACAACCTTCAGCTCCACAGCTCCACTCAGTGTCACCAGTGATCCATAGCCCAGGAAGGACATGGACCCAGCCTATCTGTGTGTATGGCCCACAGCTGGTCCCTGGGCTCTAGGCTGGCAGCAGATCAGTCCCTCTGCACTTCCTCCTCTACCCCAGCTGTGCCTGCCCGGTGGCCCTAATGTGGCCACTGATGCTTCCCAGTAGCCAGGCTCAGGTGCCAGCTTGCACTTCCCATGGCTGGAAAAGCAGAGGACGGACATGGATGTGTATCAGGTTTCTTGGAGTGTCAGCTCAGGAAGGATTTGTTATATCCAGTGGGTCCAGAGAGGAGTCAGAGAAGACCAGTGCAAAGCAAAAACTTTAGTGGAGGTATTGCAAGAAGTAGTACAAAGCCACTCAGGAGGAGTGGGGGTTCCCAGAGCTGGGACACTGCTGAATCTGGGTCCATGGTCCTAATTAATGGGCTGGGGGCCCATCTCCACCCACCTGAAGACTGACTCTTGATTGATTGGATTTGGAGCTTGTTGCTAGGGATTTGGTCTTCTGGGCTAATGGGGGAATTCAAGTAGGCATGGCAACCTGCACTACGAGGGACAGTGTTGCCTGCACAGAGGCAGGTGTCACAACCACAACCTGTCAGCTTCAAGCCACAGAGCTCTGAGAAAGCTGCTTACTGCTCATAGCTGCACAGAGGCTGCTTTCTCTACCCTTTAAAAAGGATCCGGGTCTTTCTTATAACCCTCCTTAAGGGTCTCTTCTGTTCCTAAGGATTCTCCAGAATGAGGCTCGTGTCTCATGAGAGAAATGATCTAGCTGTGGGGGAGCATCAAATCCAGAGAAAGATGGAGAGAGCTGCTCTGAGCTCCTGATGCCAGCAGGCCTCTCTTGACTCTGACTGATCATCCTTATCTTGTATGTTCTTCTTGATTTGCTGTTTGCTTCAGCAGGCAATCTTTAAGACACACAAAATAACGTAAACAATCACTGAAGAACTGGGCTGGTGAGATAGCTCAGTGGACTAAAACACCTGCTTAGGCAAGCTTAGGCAAGCACAGGGACCACATGCCATGCCAGCCCTGCCCCCAGGGTGGGCTGAGCCCGCCAGAGTCC